CCATTCAAAATGACCATAAATTTGACTTGAAAACAAGTTATTCTCAATTGTTTTGAATTTTCCCATCTTAATTCATTAAAATGGCTTTTATATGAACTTTCTTCCACCAATGCTTGATATGATCCACATCAATGGAAACTTGATGTTTAGACAAGCTAAAAACATCATTTTGAACAACTTTCATGTTGAACAAAAATTCATTTGAGGCTTGCAAGATGGTGTAATTGACTTATGATTCAAAATGACCTGTAATGTCCAAATACCCAAAATACCCTTGACTTGTCAAAGCCATAACTTGAGTTCTACCCATCCAATCATGGACTTATATTACTCTTTAGAAAGCTAAGAGAATAAGGAACAACATTCATGTTGATCAAAAGTTCATAGGAATCATCCCTCTAGGGAAAAAGTGTCATGCAAGTTGGGTAACTTTCAAGCTCCAAATTCACATGCCTCAAATGACTTGTAACTTGTCTGGCTCATAACTTGAGTTCTATAAACCCTATCAAGGACTTCTAGTACTCAACTTAAAGCTAAGCTCATGCTCTACAACAATCATGTTGGGGTAAAGATGAGATGACAATCATATCTTGAGTTAAATTGCCTTGAAGACAGGGGTCAAACTAGGGGATTTTACACTGTCAAGTCTTAGAAACCCTAGCTTGAAACTTCTCAAACTCTTCAATCATGATGAGTTGACCTTGGAATCATCCTTATAACATCTCAATGTATCAATCCATGATCACATGGATCTTGAATTAGGTCTCGACTTCCTTCAAATCCTCAGTTGACTTAGGGTTGACCCAGTCAAACCCTAGTTGCACCAATCATGGCTGAGGCTTCTTATTCTTGCACAATGACCTGTCTAGGCCTCAAAGTGATCTTCAAACCTTATCATGAGCTCTCTCAATATCTCAAGTCTAACTTCATGGCTTCAGAATCATCTGATGGCTTTCCACAACTCTCAAGTTAGGAGACTTGCACCCTTGGTTTCAACCACTCTTTCTGAGGCTCTTTCAACTTCTCTGACAAGGATATCAACCCTTGAACACTTGAATAACCTTCTTAGCTTAGCTTCATAGCCTTGTATAGATCTTAATTGGTAATCATACCTCTTGATCTCCTGCATACATGTCAAGGAAATGCAAATGATAATGCTAATGTGAATGAAATGAAACATAAGCTAGGTAAAGAAATGTTGGGCAAATTTTGGGGTGCAACACCGACACTACAAGCCGACCTTCGAAAATCAAATCTAAGTTCTGCTAATTTCCAAGTTTTGTTTATCTGCTTTAATTTTTATCGCTTTTATTTTTATGCATTCTTTCTGTTTTCTGGTTAGTATTAGGATTGAATTTAGTAAAAATATGAAAGCCATGTCTGGCTAAAACCCTTAGTATTGGTATGTAATTGCGATCGGTCAGAAGGGGGTTAAGTAAACCGTGACGTAGAATTTAATGCAATAAATGTTTCTGGTCTCTGTTTCTTTTGCCAAAATTAATAAACTTTTGTCACGAGAGTGAGAAAGTAACGAAGGGTAAAATCAATAGAGCGAGAGTTTGAGGTTTTAACCGGATAGTTGAAACTGAACATTATGCTTAAATACAGCGAGAGCGCTTTAAGGTTAATTAGGACTTATCTGTTTTCAAAAAGTGTTTTTAAATGCAAAATGAGAGAGCGAGAGCCACATTCTGATTTAAGAGCATAGTCAAAGTAAAAAGAACGAGAGTGTGAGATAAGGGCTTTTAAATGGGTATTTTCTACAGAATAACAATTCTTTCTTCTTAAAACTAAACGTCCACGAACTACCGAACCCCCGATGATTGATAGGATTATATACCGATATTTAGCAATATCTTAAGTTAATCTAATTTTAATTCGGCACTTATTTTATTTTTCGCATCCCAAAAATTAGAAATTCATTAGCCTTAGCTTTACATAGTAGCATTAGATAGCGGTAGATCGACTCTTGGTCCTTTGGTTTCGATAATCTTTTAAAACTACACGACCAGACTGTGCACTTGAAGTCGCAAAGCATTTAGGCATACTAAATAGCCGATCAAGAATCGTTTCCCTTCATTAAGACATTATCACAATCAATTATGAAAACAATTTTCACTAACCTATACGATTAGAAATATGCTCCAATCGATTGGACAGTTTAAAAAACCCATTCAAATTGTTATAACAGTTATTGATTCATCTGGCTAGGCTTCAAAACATTTTTAGGTTGTTTTCTTTAAAAAATAGAGGCTTTAAAAATGTTTTAGTGAGTGTGTGATTTACCCATATCATTTTAAGAAAATGTCAACCAATAGGAAATGTGGCATACTTTTCATTACACCCTTCTTTATCTCAACCAATAGACTGTGGTAAAACCTTTTCTCAATCGAGGTAAAATCTTTTATTCGTAGTAGTGAATGCATATCCTCTGAGATTGCCTGCTAGCTATAGAAATTTGGAATCATTTGGTAGATATTGATAATTATGGAAGGATCATCATTAGAACAATGCAACAATTTATTGAGTTTAATTGAACTCAAGAAATTAGTCAAATGGTGATAATAAGTGGAGAGATGTTTGAGAACTACTTGTTATTGGATTTTCCAGTTGCAAAACAAACGAGTTCCTAATGGCAATTATAAAAGTATGTAGAAACCTTAATGTTTTATACTCGACCAAGATAAATAGAATCATAATTTAAAAGATATGCACAGGATGGGCTCAAGCCCTTATAAACAAAAAATTAATATAAGTTGGTATTCTTCTATGCACGAGTGGATATGTTTGAATACTGATGGTGCTGCTAAAATGGATAACCAAGTTGCAGGTTTTTGAGTTGTTATATGTGATAACAATGGCAGTGGGTTGTTGGATTTACTCTTTATTTGGGGTCATATCTTGTATATATTACAAAATTACAAGGTCTTTATGAAAGTGTGTGCTTAGATAGAAGACTTAGTGTCATTAATTTGGAAGTTCAGCTAGATTCAATGATGATTGTTCGAAATGTGACTACTAATAATATTGACAGCGTTAAATATATTAAGAGAAAAGGAATAATTCATGTGCATGTGACCGGCTGACATAATAATGTAATCAATTAAACCCTTTTATATTTGTCAAACATAGCTTACAATAGCTAAATGTAACCAGGTGACATAACATGTCAACCAATTAGACATGTATTTTCTCCAGATTCTGACACATTAGTTAATGTAATCGGTTGGCATAATAGTGCAATTGGTTACATCTAGGAGTTTTTGGTTATTTTTGTTTTGATAATTGTATATTATCTTGTGATTGTATAAATACCTTATAGTATCGCATTAATAAAGTTAGTAGATACTCTCTCTCTCTCTCTCTCTCTCTCTCTCTCTCTCTCTCTCTCTCTCTCTCTCTCTCTCATCTCTCTCTCTCTCTCTCTCTCTCTCTCTCTCTCTCTCTCTCTCTCTCTCTCTCATCTCTCTCTCTCTCTCTCTCTCTCTCTCTCTCTCTCTCCTCTCTCTCTCTCTCTCTCTCTCTCTCTCTCTCTCTCTCTCTCTCTCTCCTCTCTCTCTCTCTCTCTCTCTCTCTCTCTCTCTCTCCTCTCTCTCTCTCTCTCTCTCCACACTCAGATATTCACCAACCTTATAGTTCTAAATGGCAACACAATGGTGGAATCTTGTGAAAAAATTTATAAAGTTATTAAAATTGAATTGGAATGTTCAAATTGCCCATAGAAAAATATTAGATAACAGATTTATTAGGTAACATGAAATGTACACCTATTTATGACCATGTGAAATACGAGCATGCTCTTAAAGTTATGCGGATTCTTAATGATGATATTATGGATGTTTCTTTATCCGGTATTAATTTCGCTATATCATCTTTTTGGACTTCAGCTCGTTGCATAAAAAAAAATCACTAACCTTGAGATTATTTTAACTACAAATATGTGGCAAACATGTTTCTTGCAAAACCATAATTGTCTAAAAAAAAAAAAACGTATGCACAACGTCATTCAAAAGAAAGACTATTTAGAGAACTTCTTCAAAGATAAAACCATTTATGGGCTTTCTCTTCTTTTTACATGTGCTTCCAATAGAAGCTCTTCTATGTGACCATTCACTACAAAGCACAAAAGCATGTGTGCAAGCATCTTCAGTATACATATTTTATAATCATTAATTTTGTTGGTGTGCATAAATTTTTTTTAAACAAAAACTGAAAGAGCCGGTGTGGGCCCCTCTCTGACTTCCACTCATATATTCCAAATAAATAAACAAATGAAAAGTGAGTTTTCAAATCAAATAATTCTAGTTCTATATTTCAATGATTCCTTCAAGTTAGATTTCTTTAACTTCAACTAAAGGTACTTTCATTTTCACCTATATTCACAATATATAACAAGAATAAATTAGAGCAAAAGCTCCTTTATCTTTTCGTTAACAACAATTTTCAATCATAGTTTAGAATTAGAACCTCCCTATATTCACCAACTTTCTCACACTTATAATCCAACTTTCTGTAAGCATATAATCTTCCATATATTAACAACTTAAATAAAGTGATTTTCAAAATGTTTCCTCGAAATTGTCCTAAATTTTTCCGTATACTTGACTTTAATCAGCTCTTCACAAATCTATAAATATAAATTTTTTTAATAACGATTTGATTGATATCAAAAGTTATATATTTTAAAATTAATTTTCTTAAAAAAGTTACATACAACTGAAATATACGTCATTAAATCTTTAAATGTGAAAACCGTAAAATGAGAGATTCTTAATTCCTTTTCTTTAAATGGGCCATTTCTCTTTCCTTTTTTCTTTAAACACATTTTCTAGTCTCTTTTTTGAGAGATAACAAACTTTACATAAGTAAGTGGCCTTGTATGTTGTTTCTCTTCATTCATCATATCATTACCAACTTGATAATGTTCTGTGATAAGACTTGTCCTAGTAGCCAAGTATAGGTTTCGTGCCACTTTTTTTTCTTCAAAAAACATTTATTAATTATCTGAAAGTTCCTCCAAATGTTGGTGTCCAATATTCAACTGTGGGTTCATGAGTCATTGGAAATGTACTAGAAACTGGTACTAAGCATAACCCTCGGCTTCTAAGATCTTGCTTTGGACCTTCTACTTCCTTAGATTTACCAGAACCCTGCAATAAAAAAAAATCTATATAAATAATCAAACCTATAACAAAAATGTAATAAAAATTGATATATTTTTCTAGAGTCAGATATTCCAGATTCACGTGTTCCACATATTCTCAATCGTTGTATTGAAATTGCATGATTTAAATTTTTATGTTCAATATCTTTATTTTAGGATAAAATAAAAATTATATTTAAGTTTAGACAATTTTATCTTAATCCAACAATCGAAAATATATTGAATGCACGAATGTAGAGGATATTTGACTACAATGAATTTGATTTTGTAAAATATATACTACCTGTTGATGTTGGATTGGAGCACCATTTTTCATATACGGTGTGCTTAAAATCTGTAATAAATGAAGAGCAAATTAATATTTTTTAATTTTTAAACTTTTTTATAATGAAATAAAATAATGGAAAATGGACTTACAGTCACTTGTTCATGAAGAAACTTGATATATTCAATTGCTTCAGAGAGCACTGAGGCTGTATCAGTCTGACTCAACATGGCAGCAAAAAGAAATTTAAAATAAAATCAACAAACATCATTTAAATATATCATTCTATCCAAACACAAAAAAATCATATATCATTGTTTTATATTGTGGTAAAAAAACCATATATCTCCCTATGATTTAGCAAATACAATTTGAGTCACAATGATAACATTCACAATATTATTCACAATTTCAATTTATTTTCATATTGTGGAGCTTAATCTCTATTGTTACTGTAATATTATAAATGCAACTGCATTTGATTATAATTGTAGTGTGATTTAAAATTCTGCATGAACTGTATTTAGAACCACACATCACACAACTTCGCTCATGTTTTTTATAAAGTATTTTAATTAAATATTAAAATTTTCAAACTATTTATTTCTAGTCTCGACAAAATCTTAATATTAAGTGTTTTTCAACAAAACATTTCAAATGTTTTTCAATTAAAATTTAGATTGCAATAGTTGCAATGTGTATCGCAGCAATAGTAATGTCTGCAATTGCAACATCAACAACTATATTTGCAGCACAATAGAAATTTAAAATCTTAGTATTAATTTTAAATACAAAGAAGGAAAAAAAATGATAATTCTATTTCACTGTAATAAAATGAAGCTGACCTTTCCGAAAGGTGAAACCAATTGTTGAAGTGCAGTGATTCTGTCCCCCATTTTCTCTTTTCTCACCTAAGAACAAGAGACACAGTACTTGTACATGTTCATATCTATATTAATTATGGACTCAAGCAAAACAAAAATATAAAATAAAAGTACACAAAGAAAAGGTAAAGATGTATAAAATTAAAGATATAAAGTTTAAAAGCTAGCTATAGTTTCCCCTTATTGTTAAAAGGTTAGTTACATTTATTGTACCTTAAAAGCTGGCAAAGGTGATGGGGTTTCATTTCTGGACCTTTTTGGTGCAGGCTCACTCCCACTTTTCTTCACCACACCACTTGGGTCCCTACCTTCAGATATATTCTGCAAAAACATAAGTACATACATCAAATTTAAATTTAACCCTTATATTATTTTTGAAGCTATTCATCGTAGTTCTAAATTGCAGTTGGAGTGTTCCTAAATCCTAGTGTGTTAAATTGAAAATTATTATTAGGATTCGAACCCTAGTACTCATTGTTCTATGCGTGAAATTCTAGTGATTATTATCAATTTATTTACAGTATTGTGGTTGTAGTGTCTACAAATTCTATTTCAACTAACAGAAGTCGCCGATACCGATAAATTAGACATTATCAATTCGAACCCTAATAAATATTATTCTGTGAATGAGTTTTTAGTGATTATTATTGATTTATAAAAAAAAAATATTGCAGATGCAAGCAAATTTTGATATTAGGACAAAATAAGACAAATAATGCATTAATTATATGTTAATTTAAGAAATTTACATTTCAACAATATTTATGCTAAAAAGTTGTTTGATTATCAATCTATGATATACCTTTGTTTGTGCACCAAAATTCGGTGTGGTAAAAGGAGGCAAGAAGCTAGATGAAGAATCTTTAATAGTCGACTCCGAAGCATTCCAAAACGGAGCATTGTTGGTGAAATGCAATTGGTTATTTGGTTGTTGTTGTTTTTGTTGAGGTATTTTAGACCAAGAAGGAATCAAATCATTTGAACTCAAACCATAGCTTGTTGATGAATAAGGAAAATTCATCGAACGATTCTCGAATGAATTATTACCATGTTGAGGTTGAATTTGATTTGTTTCAGTTCCTAAAAGTCCTTGTAACATTGAAGGGTTACCATATAAAGCTGAAGAATCCATTTGGCTTATCATGTTACTATCTCCCGAACTATATTGAGGACTAAACTGTGTTTGATCCAACGAGAAACCTCTATTTACTTGCTTGAATTCATTGTTAGAAGATTCTGTCGAAAACAACTTTTCTTGCCTCCAATTACTCAATCCAACTCCACCGGTTTCTTCATCGAAATTTGTGCTTGATGAGTTCAAATTCTCTTGCAACATAGACCTGAAACTTCCTTCTGAAGCCTTGTCACTTCTTCTATACCATTAGCATCAAACAAACAGAAAAAATTAGTTACTTTATACACTTTTTTTCACTCATAAATTATTCTCTTTTGCAAAAATAGAATGAAGAAAAAGTAAAAGAAAAAGAAAGATCCTACTTTATTAAAAAAAAATAATACTGTAACTTTTGGCGTGTACCATCATATATTCTCCAATTTCATAATTAGCGCGTTAAATGTTAAATTATTTATATCTATGAAATAATGAGTTGAACTTTAGTTGAAAATTTAACTGATTAAATAAATGAATTTAACTTGAACTACAGACTATCTCAAGAAGAGACTTACATTAAAGATGCATGATTCCAATCAATGGTTTGAGAGGAAAGACCCAAATTCATCATATGCAAGTTGCTGTTGTCATTATTTGAAGTAGAAGAATCTGAAGGTTGAAGCTTTTCAGTAGTATCATGAAAAACAATCGAAGAACTACCGGAAGCAGACATAGTATCATGATGTTGTTGCTGCTGCTGCCAACCACCAAACGAGGAAGATTGTTGTTGTTGTTGTTGTTCAACACTTTCAAATCTCATGTTTCGAGCTGGTGTCTCCCACCAATTTCCACTACCTTGAAACTGTTCTTCAGCCATGCTTGATAATTATCAATTAATCTTCAACAAAAAAATTACTAAACTTAGTATTAATTAATAATCTTTGTGTTGTGTTGTGTGAAGAAATGAATGAATGAAAAAAAGGTTCAAAATTTGTGAGTATTTATATTAGGAGGTGAAGAGAAAAAATGATGATATGTAGAGAGAAAATTGAAAAGAGCAACAAAACTAAGAAGAAAGAATATCGTTGACGCCTTTGACAATTCAGGACATGTATTGATTAGACAGTGGAATTATATGTCATTTTGAAATCGAATTCGGTTCATTCCTTAGCTTATTATATTTATACAATTCTACTTTTTGTTTTCTTTTGTTTTTTTTCTCAACAATTCATACTTCATTTCCTAGTATTAAGTAAAAGATAATATAATGTTTAAGACATCTAAACAAAAATCTGTTGAATTATGTCTTTTTAAATTTTTCCAGTGTGATCAATAGTCACTTAGTTCAATGGCTGGATTTAAAATAGTTCGATTTTCGAAACTGTGATTAATTAAACGGATATTGATGGTAAAAATAAAATAAAAAAAGTCACTGTATTTTTCACTTTTCATTTCAACTTTCATAAAATGTATTTTATTTAACCTTTTCATATTTAAATTAATTAATAGTTAAAATTTTGTTAAAGATTTTTTTTTTAACGAAAAGGTAACCATTTCAAAGAAAACAAACATGTCCAAATATACTTTTGTTCCTACTATTCCACTTTTTTCTATACTCATGTTATAGATTTATCTTTTATAAAACTAAGTAATGACAAGAAGAAAATAAACTTTTTTTTTACCTTTCAATATAACAAAAAAAAAATAGAAAGAGACAAATTTAAAACAGGTTTTCAAGAGAGGAATTTGAAACAAGTGTTTGAAAAGATTAGTTCATAAGATCTCTGTTTTTTCGGATTTGAAAAATTGAATTTGGCACAAGGAAATTATCAGGACGAGTCGCGTACTAGGTCGCTTTCTTTAAAACGTTTCGCCGTACTGCCAAAATATGCAAAGCAGTCGATTTACGACGACGTCTCCATGATAAAACAGCCCGTTCAATAACGTACGATTGATAAATCGCTCTAGAAATACACTTTTCTAAGTCACAGTATCTGGCGAAAATAGCCAGTCGAAAAAACAAGAAAAAACAAGAAAAGAAGGATTTGTAGACGAAGAGAATTATGGGAGAGAAGATGGAAATCAAAATTCGTGTGAACTTTTTTTGAAATCCGCTACATCACTACTGAACTTCTACCCTGTATTTATAGACATCTAGTAAGGCTGAGTAGGGAGAAATTCGTGGTGAATGGAGAAAATCGTGGGAGAATGGGAAATACTGGATCTAGTCAATATGGCAGTTACTGACCAATTATTTTCTTAATTAATTAATATTTATCATTAATTAATTTTCCACCGAATTATATTAATTAATTAATGATAATTAAATTCTATAAATTCGGGTCCAAAAAATAATTCATCTAGACGGACCGGACCGAACCGAACCGAATCGGCCGGACGGACGGCGGCGCACGCGTGTTTGTCTTGATGGTCATGGGTGTGTCCTCACTCCTTTCACAAAATTGGGTGCCCTTTAGGGCCCAACCCAATTGACCAAGTTGGAATATATAAACACTACTAATATTTCCATTCCCTTTAATGTGGGACTAAAATGAATCTTTTCAAATTCACTTCTATATTAGTTCTTACTTGTGTTCATTTATTGCCCATTAATTGTCAATAAATCTTTCCAATTTCCACTCTAATTAATATAATTCCAACATTCCCCCACTTGAATTTAAAAGAGATTTTAGAAGTACGTCAGACGTTTCTAAGATTGAGCATAAGCAAAGGTGTCTACGACTTGAACCTTAGCGTAGCGAGTAGGATTCTGATTCAACAAGAGTGACACCATTGTCTTGAACTCTATCTCAGACATCAGACCCGCACACAACCTTTCCGTAAGGTGTATTCTTGTAGCCCGTGCTTTAGTGGCCCTGCACGTGTATCCCGGTTTAGTGAATGCTCTAGGAATTCTGCCTCGAAATTCCATAGGAACCGGCCTCAGTTCCACAGTCACATAGGTGAATCTATCAAGAGTACTCCTGTAGCCTAGGTACTCCCTCATATAGAGTATATATCTCATTAAGAGTTTCTATCATCTCATCCTCTCATTACTTCAGGATTCATGCTTTACTTCCATGATCATTTTCATATTACTCACAACTTGTTATTACCCATTGAACTAAGTCTTGGGATCTCCAGTCATTTAGGTCGGGTTACCATCATGAGTAACTAATTGCTTTATAGGCATTAGTCCCATCTTTTTGGAAGTATTATGGACTTTCTCTCTAGCTAATCCTTTCGTCAAAGGATCTGCTAAGTTCTCATCAGTGCGTACATGATCCACTCTCACAGCTCATTTAGAGATACAATCTCTAACAGTGCTATGTTTTTTTTCTAATTTGACGTCTTTTACCATTATAATAACGGTTCTCAACTTTTGCAATAGTCGCGGTACTATCGCAGTGGATCAACACAACTGGTATAGGTTTTTCCCATAAAGGAATCTCAGCTAGCAAGCATCTTAACTAACTTGCTTCTTCACTAGTTGTAGCTAATGCTATCATCTCAGACTCCATTGTGGACTGTGCCAGAATGGTCTGTTTCTTTGATTTCCAAGATACAGCTCCTCCGGCTATACTAAATATATAACCACTAGTAGCTTTGGAATCATCCGATAAGGTGTTCCAATCTGCATCACTATACCCTTCTAGTATAGCAGGAAATTTCTGATAGTGTAGGCCGAGGTCCATAGTCCTTTTAAGGTACCTCATTACTCGCTCAATAGCTTGCCAATGTTCGTTCCTCGACCTACTTGTAAATCTGCACAACAATCCTACGACATATGCAATGTCGGGTCTAGTACAATCAGTGGCATACCTAAGACTGCCAATGATGCTCGCATATTCTGCTTGTTTGACACTTTCTCCAGTGTTCTTAAATAGTTTCACACTTGGATCATACGAAGTGCATGCAGGTTTACAATCAAAGTATTTATATTTCTTTAAGATCTTCTCCATATAGTGAGATTGATCCAAAGAAATTCCTTGGTCGGATCTCGTGATCTTGATACCCAGGATCACGCTTGCTTCTCCGAGGTCTTTCATATCAAAGTTATTGCATAACAATGATTTCATATCATTAATGGCCTGAACGTTTGATCCAAATATAAGTAGATCGTCTACATATAGACATATAATAGTACAAATGCAATTCTCAGATTTGTAATAAACGCACTTGTCACTTTCATTCACTTTGTACCCTTTAATTATCATTAAGTTATCAAACTTTTCATGCCATTGTTTAGGGGCTTGTTTTAGTCCATACAGAAACTTATCTAACTTACAGACCTTGCTTTCTTGTCCTTGGATTACAAACCCTTCTAGTTGTTCCATATAGATTTCTTCTTCTAAGTCACCGTTTAAAAAGGTTGTTTTAACATCCATTTGGTGTACTATTAAGTTATAAATGGCTGCTATTGAAATGAGTACCCTAATGGATGTAATTCTAGTGACCGGAGAAAAGGTGTCGAAGAAATCTATATTTTCTCTTTGTCTAAAACCCTTGGCTACAAGGCGAGCCTCGTATTTCTCAATCGTTCCATCAAGTTTTAGTTTCTTTTTCAAAACCCATTTGCAACCAATTGGTTTGCAACCCGGAGGTAAGTCTACTAAGTGCCAGGTCTTGTTAGATTCTAGAGAATTTATCTCATCATTAATGGCTTCTTGCCATAAGTTTGCATCCATAGATGACAGTGATTCTTGAAGATTTATTGGATCTTCTTCTACATTATAGGCCGCATAATCGGCCCCACATTCTTTAGCAACTCTTGCTCTTTTACTTCTTCGAAGTTCTGTTTCTACATTGTCGCTGCTTTCAGTGCTTTTTATCACAGGAATGTGACTCGATTGTGAGCCCCCACTATTTCTCGATCTGAAAGGAAATTTGTCTTCATAGAATTCAACATCGTTTGATTCTATGATTACTCTGGCATTTAGGTCATAAAACCTGTATGCCTTACTGTTTGCTGCATACCCAATGAATACGCATTCATAGGCTCTACTAGCGAGTTTAACTCGTTTCGGATCCGGAATTCTGACATAAGCCAGACAGCCCCAAGTTCTCAAATAAGACAAATTTGGTTGTCTTTTCTTTAATATCTCATGAGGTGAGATCTTACTTTTTGACTTGGGAACTTTATTCAGGACATAGCAAACAGTCAATAAAATTTCCCTCCACCAGTGAGGTGCAGCACCAGAATTTAACATGATTGCGACTATAAGTTCAGTAAGAGTCCTATTCTTTCTTTCTGCTTTACCATTCATTTCTGGAGAGTATGGAGCAGTCATTTCATGTATAATACCATGTTCAGCATAAAAATCATTAAACAAGCTAGAGTCATATTCGTTTCCCCTATCACTGCGAAGTCTCTTAATCTTCTTGTTAAATTGATTCTCAATTTCAGTTACATACACCTTAAACATGTCAAGCGCTTCACTTTTATTCTTCATTAGATATACATAAGTATAATCAGAGCAATCGTCAATAAAAGTGATAAAATAACGTTTATTATTTCTAGTTAAACTTCCATCTAATTCACATATATCATAGTGTATAAGATCTAGGGGATCAGATTCTTTTATAATTGATTTATGTGAAGTCTTTGTTATTTTTGCTTGACTGCAAAATTCACATTTATTGGAATCATTGACATTTAGTTTAGGGATTAGGCCTATGTTGATTGCATTAGAAATGATTCGTTTATTAACGTGACAAAGTCTACCATGCCAAATATTAAAGTCACACAAAGAGTAAACAGAAGGAGAAATTTTATTCAAATCAACATTGAACTTAAACATGTCATCAGTGGCGTACCCTTTTCCTACAAAAATACCATTCTTAGTGATGGTGTACAAATCTTCCCCTAAAGTTTGC